CTGTGAGTGAAAGCCCCCAGACCCATGACAACCTCCCACCTCAGCCCCATGGCAACCCCTCCAGCCATCTGCCCCCCAAATGCAGTCATGCAGGCAATGCTGGAGCTGTGCCCCTTACCGGTGCTGTGCCCTCCCAGCAGCTTCCACCCCCCGCCCGCTCCCCCCCCGCAGCCCCCACCTTCACCACCGCTGCTGTGTTTGCTCGGCTTAGCCGCTGCCGGCCTCCAATTTGGTCTCATTCATTATTAACGGCCCTGGCCGGCTGTGCTGTTGACACAGCCACTCCAGAAGTGGGGACTAGAAGGGATGGGGGGGGGCGGGGGGCAGTGATCCCCTCCTTGTGACCCCCTCCTCAGCTCAGCCCCCCATAGGCAACTCCCCCCCACCCCCACCCCCCCGCTGCAGCTCAGCAGGATGCAGGGATGCTGGGAGCCTGGATCCTATGGGATCCCACTAATATGGGGCAGGGGGAGATGCTGCAGCCCCCCTCTGCCCAGCTGCCCATCAGGGCTGACAGCGGCCCCCCCGCACTGCCCACCCCGCCTGGCTGCCTCCCTGACAGCGGCTCCCAGTAGGGCCACGCTTGGCTGAGCTGCGCCCTGGGGGGGGCTGGGGGGGAGGGGGGGTCTGCATTAGGATAAGGATGCATGGAGGGGGGCGAGGGGGGAGCTGCACCTGGAGGGTTGAATTGTGTTGGGATGGGGAGGTGTAGGGGGCTGCACCTGGGGGTGGGGGAACAGTGCCTTTTTTTGGGGGGGTTGCACCTTTTGGGGAGGGGGATGATCCCTTTCCTGGCTGCCCATAGCTGCTGTGCCCCCCCCTTGCCCCCCCATGCTGCAGTATGGGATCGATGCTGGTGGGTGGGGGGGGAAGGGGGGGGGCAGGTGTTGCTCCGCTGCTGGATCGATTTCTTAAAGTATCTGGATTTAAAAATGTCAAATCTGGCTCTCGAGCTCCAGGCTGGGAGGCAAGCAGGGGCCTCAGCCCCACTATGGTGGGCAGCACCCCCACCTCCACCTCCAGGCCTTGGTGTCCCCATGTCCCCAAAGCACAGGACCCCCCCCCATGGGTCTGTGGGGTCCCGGGGAGAGGGGGGTTGCTGTATATCCCCTTGTTGGGTGTAATAGAGACATTGATCAGCTCCGGGCGGCAGCGTTTAAGGCATCGATTGGCGGAGCCTTCCCGCTAATTGAAGCATTTGTCATCGCCTCGTTTGGGGGTGTCCAGCTGGGGGCTGCCCCGCGTAGGACAGCTGCTATGCACACCCCCAAGACACGCGTGTCCCCGTGCACACACATGTATTCACATGTCTGTATGATGCACACACATCCCTGTGCACATGCATTCCGTCTTCATGCACACATATCCCCATGGTGCACACAACCTCACGCACACGTGTGTCCCCATGCTGCACACACATCCATGTGCATGAATGTGTCCCCACGGTGCTCACACGTCCCTGCATACACACGTCCCCACGATGCACACACTTCTGTGCACACCTGTCCCTTTGGAGCACACACATCCCTGTGCACATACATCCGCGCACACATGTCCCTATGATGCACACAACCTCATGCACACGTGTGTGCCTATGGTGCACACACACACCCCTGAGCACACACCTCGTATCCTGGTGCACGCATATTCCCATGATGCACACAACCTCATGCACACTCGTCCCCATGATGCACGCACACCCCTGTGTACAAACATGCCCCCATCCTGCACAGCACCCCTCCGTACACACGTGCACTTCCGTGCAAACCTGCCCTTATGATTCACACACATCCCTGTGCACATACATCCCATCCTGATCCACACACATCCCTGTAACACACACAACCTCACGCACACACGTGTCCCCATGTTGCGCACACATCCCTGCATACACACCTGTCCCTATGGTGCACACACACCCCATGCACACGCATCCTACCCTCACACCCACATTACCCCTGCATTACACACACACATCCTCATACAGATCCCCCCACCCCCAGGCCCCCCGTCCACCCATCCACACACGTGTGTGCACACACCACCGGCGCACACCCAAAGGGTCGGTTGAAGGCATCCGGCGCCGCTCCCGAATGTCACGTTGCCTTGTCAGTTTGCTGGTAATTAATGCAAACTCCGGGGCCGGAGTCCCTCTGGACTCGTACATCACTGCCAGCGCCGGGCTGCAGAGCAGCCCCTTTACCCAAGTGCTGTTATTAGGGGAATTTTATATGTATTAGCTGTTGATGCACATTAATACATTAAAAATGTCAGCGGTGGAGGCCAGCTAATTGTCTGATTTAAATGTCTATTTGTCAGCGGGTGCCTCAGGTAGGCATGAGGTGAATGTGCAATGAGCCCCCCGACCCTGTGGGGTGGGGGTGAGCCCTGGGGGGGCACCGGGATGGTGGCATGGGGGGACAATGGGGCGCGGGGTGGGGGGCTGCGGGTTCTGCTGTACAACAGGGGGTAGTGGGACCCTGCGCCCCCGCCACCCCCCCTTGATCACTGCCTGGCTGGGATGGATTTCTCCACCCGACATCCTCTGAATCCTTAATAAATGCTGCTTGTCCAGAGAATTAATCCGGGGCAGCCCACAGCCATCCATCTCATCACGCGTTGGCATGTGGTGACGGACGGCCCCGCTGCCGCCCCAGCAGTGACTCAGCCAGGGGGGCCATGAATCCCCCCCCCAACCTCTCATGGGGATATCCCCAAATCTCAGTGTTTTCACCCCCCACTGACACCCTGCTGCTCTTCACAATAGGGCTGCAGTGCCATGGAGACACCCCCAAGAAAGCAGGGTGCAGGTGAACTTGGGGGTCCCCAAAGTCCTTCCCGGTGTCATCTGCTCCCCAACTCACCTCATCCTGAGCCCAACACAGCCACAACATGTGGGGCCATGCCCTGTTAATAGCCCCCAGCTGCTTCATCAGCAATTAGCAGCAGACGTTAACGAACCTGGGTGGGCAGCAGAGGGAGATGTGCCAGTGCCCAGGAGGTGCTGGGGCACAAGGAGTGCGCACTGGGGAGGCACAAATTAGGGGTGGGTGCACAATGGGTACAGGGCTTACACTGAGTACAGGGCTCAAAATGGGGACAGGATATGCACTGGAAACAAGGCACAGGGGCTCCCTCATCCTGGGGGAGGTGACAAGGTGCCAGGCCCCCCTGCAGGCAGCAGGTGACACTTTCCACCTGTCACCATGCACGCAGGCAGCATCGCCTTCCCGCCATCCTCGGGACCTGTTGAGCCGCCCGCAGCCCCCCCAGGCCATGTGTCCTCCCCCCTCCTCGCTGCTGTTGGTTTATTTGTCTCCATTCAAGGACAATTTTCATCCAATTTGGGCCCGGCACACGGCCTGGCTTTATTGCAAACACGCCCTGGATGGAGCGCGGCGCCCGGGTGCCTCCGGCCAATCTATATTCATTTGCACAAGGCTCCCCCGTGACCACGTGCCGGGCGCAGACACACCAATCTGTCTGCTGGTCCCAGTGCAGTGCAGCAACTGGGAGGGAAGTGACATGGTGATGGCATGGGGAGAGGGACAGGGACACCCACCGTGTGCTGGGATGGGTCACCGAGCGCTGGGGCCTGTGATCCATGCACTGTGGATCATAAGCTGTGCACTGGGGACCGTGCACAATGAGTGTGCACCATGTGCCGTGCACTGTGTGCCGTGCACTGAGAACCATGCACAGTGCACTGTGCACCACGGACTGCACCAGGGCTGTGCACTGTGCACTGGAGACTGTGCACAGTGCATGGGCACCGTGTGCCGTGCACCAGGGGCACTGAGGGCGGTGCACAGTGCATCACAGACCAGGCACTGGGCATGAGGCGCTGGGCACGCTGGGCTTTTGGGGACCAGGATGTGACCCTGCCTGCAGAGGCAGATGGTGACTGTGCTTTGGTGCCCGCCAGACAGCCCTCCCTCCCCGTGCCGGCCCCGCTCGCGGCCCTGGGGCTGCAGATCATGCATTTATTCATGCTCTGCTCCCCAGCTCCACTGCCAGCCCTGAGCTTGTGGCGGGGCTCAGCGCCCCGCAGCATCCCCTTAGCTGCTGCAGGACACGTCCATCACCGCCGGCCCCACGTAGCCCCGAGGAGTGTCATCCCCACTTCTCCTCATGGCATGGGGACCCACGGCCACTAAATCCCCATCCACTGTGACAAAGTGGGGCACCTCCACCACCGGTGCCACTGTGTGCTGCTGAGCTGCCCCTATAGCCATGAGCAGGATTTATCTCCGAGCCTCCATCCCCCCCATCTTCCCACCACCACTGCTGCTCTCTCCAGGGTTGACCTTTCCCTCCTGCTATTTTTACTGGCAGTGTTTGCACTGCACTACCTCTCCTCACAGTCTGTGCTGGGGCTGCAGCTGCCCCTGGGTGCAGCACCACCAATGGGACCCCAATGGGACTGGGAAGGCTGGGAGCAGCCAGGACCCCTCGTGTTCCCATGAATGGCACCTTTCCGCTGAGCTCCCTTTCCCCGTATGCCCCCAGCTCTTGCTAATTAGCGTTCAGGCTTCCCCTCGCGGCCTCCCTAATTAATTCGCTGTTGCTGCTCATTAAGATCAGCCAACAGAAGGGCGGTGATGGTGGTGGGACTCCGATGTCCCCATCCCCAGGGGACAGCTTGGGCAGCATTGATCGCTCCCGGACCCCATCCCCTCTGCAGGAACTGCTCCCACTGCTGTAATTTGTTGCACAAACAACGCCGGGCGGTTCAGGATTGCATTGATCCTCCAGCATAAAGGGCCCATAAATCCGTCGTGGAGCCCGGCTGATGGATCGGCGCCCTTTGGAGGGAGCTGGCCCAGCCTGCAAATTTAAAAACTATCTGGATAAATTACACAGAAAGGAGCATCTCCCACCACCCGTGTGCCAGCGTGTATCTGCACACGTGCATACACACACACACACCAGGCATGCACAGATGCAAATGCACACAAGCACAGGTGCATGCGGGGCGTGCACTCACATGCACATGCATAGTGCATGCACTCACATGCGTGCATGCACACCTGCAGCCCCCCAGCTTGCATCCCTGCATGCACACATGGGTGCAGAGGGACGGCTGCAAGGACATGCATGGGCCCTGCAGGTCCCAGAGCGCTTCCATTTTGGGCTGCATCCTCCCCCACTTGCAGCAGTGAGGCCATGGGGGGCAGCCCTGCACCCTGAGGGTGGAGGGTGAGATTTGGCTGTGCACAAAGCAGTGGAGCCTGTCAGGGTTTGAAAAGAGCAGCCATAAATCTGCTCCCCCTGGGGTTGTGGGCTGTATCTCCCCACCAATATTGCATCCGTGGAGGGAACTCCAGCCCTCGGGTGCTGCTGTTCTGCTGGGTTCAATGTGGGTGAGCCCCCCCAAAATGAGTGGCCCCCAGAAATGGGCTAGTGGCCACAGGCATGCAGGGACCCCAAGTGGGGCTGAAGATGGAAAGCTGTGGGGGGTCCCGCATGCATGCACACAGCTTGCCCCCAAACGCACTGCACCCATTTCATGCACACAGAAATGCACGCTCACAGCACAACCCTGGCAAACTCACACCCATGTCTTGCACATCTCTGTGCATGCGTGGATGCAGACATAGGTCTGTGCACAAACAGAACCCTGTGGGCACATGCATCCCGTGCACTCACCAATGCAGATGCAGCCCTGTGCACACACACACACTGAGCCCTTTACACACATGCACACACCCGTGCAAACACACATCCCTGCACCAGCATCCCCCTGAGCACACAACCCCATGCATCATCCATGCATCGCGCACAACCTTGCACGCACGCAGCTCTGCACACACACATGCATGCACGGACCCAAGTGCACTCTGTGTGCATGCACACAGAGCTCTGCACACCCATTCTCATGCACTAACACGAGTCCACACACCCATGCACACCCCACAAACAACCACAGAGCTCTGCAAGCCCGTGCACCCCCCCACACACCAGCACCTCCTTGCACACGCACTCACCCCCCTCCTTGCACCCCCTCTTTCCCCCCCCCCCCTTCGCGCCCCCCGCAGCCCCGCGCCCCCCCCCCCCCTCCCGCCCCCGCCCCTGCCGTGCCCGGTGCCGTCGGGCGGAGCGGAGCTGCGGGCGCGGTGCGGTGCGGTGCGGGCGGCGGACTCGGCACGTGGCTCCCGCAGCCGCGGGCGGCAGGTGGGCACCGGCGGGCACCGAGGGGTTCCGGGGGGGGTCGAGGGGGGAGCACGAGGCCCGGTGGGACGGCCCCGACAGCGTCGCGCAGCCGCCCCAGTAGCCGCCGCCGGTGCGCACCGGGAGAGCGGGGACGCCCCCGGGGGCCGCTGCCGGTACGGGGGTGCCGCTCTCGGGGAACTTGGCGAGAAGTTCCGTCCCGGCTCCATCCCGGCTCCGGTTACATCACCAGCTCCAGCACCGTCTCCGGTCCTGCCTGCTCCATTGGCTCCGCCAACGGCTCCGGTCCTGGTTGCAGCGGGAGCTCCAGCCCCGACTCCGCTCCCGGCTCGGGTCCCGGCTCCGCTCCCGGCTCCGCCAACGGCTCTGCGCTCTTCCCCTCTGCCAGCTCCAGTCCCGGCTCCGCCTGCAGCTCCGCTCCCGGCTCCGGTCCCAGCAACAATTCCAGCCCCATTGCTCCGTGCCCGGCCCCGCGCCCGGCCCCATCGCTCCCAGCCCCGGTGCTGTCCCCATCCGTTTATCCCTATTCCTTCTCTCATCCCTGTCCCATTCCCCTCCCTATCCTCAACCCCTGCTCCCGGTCCCATCGATCCCAGCCCTGTTCCTGTCCCCATCCTCGTCCTTGCTGCTAGCTCCAGTGCCAATCCTGTTCCCGTCCCCATCCCTATTCCCGTCTCCATTCCTACCCCTGCTGCTGTCCCCAGCCCCAACCCCGTCCTCATCTCTGCTGCCATCTCCAGCCCCACTGCTCTCCCCATCCCCGTCCCCACCACCACCTCCATCCCTATTCCTGTCCCTATCCCTTCTGCTGTCACCATCCCCACCACTATTTCCAACCCCATCCTCACCTCCCTCACCATCCCCATCCCTGCTGCTCTCCCCATCCCCATCCCCGACCTCATCCCCACTTCCGTCCCCATCCTCGTCCCCATTCCAACCTCCCTCCCCGCCACCAGCTCCATCCCCACCGCTGTCCTCATCCCGCCCCATCCTCGCTCCCAGCCCGCTCCCTGCCGCGCCGTGAGGCTCAGCGGGCGGCCCCCCGCCGTCCACCCCCCCGGCTCCACCATCGCTCCCAAGGGTGACGAGGACCTTCTGGCACTGGCTGCCTCTCGGCTGAGCCGCAGGAAACGCGTGGCCGGGGCGGCCGTCGGCGTGGCCATGGTGCTGGTGCTGCTGGTGGCCATCCCGCTGCTGGTGCACAGCTCCAAGGCGGCCGCCCACTACGAGATGCTGGGCAGCTGCCGCATGGTTTGCGACCCCTACCCCGAGCTGCCTCCCGCCTCCCCCCCTCCCTTCCTACCGGGGGCAAAGGGAGAACCGGGGCGCAAAGGGCGTGCCGGCGTTCGGGGCCCCCCCGGACCACCGGGACCGCGGGGACCGCCGGGTGAACCGGGTCGACCGGGACCACCGGGACCTCCAGGGCCGGGTCCTGGGGGGTACATCCCCTCCTTCTACAGCCCCAAGATTGCGTTCTATGCGGGCCTGCGGAAGCCCCACGAGGGCTACGAGGTGCTGCGCTTCGACGACGTGGTGACCAACGTGGGCAACTACTACGAACCATCGAGTGGCAAATTCACCTGCCCGCTCCCCGGCATCTACTTCTTCACCTACCACGTCCTCATGCGCGGCGGCGATGGCACCAGCATGTGGGCTGACCTCATGAAGAACGGGCAGGTATGGCACGGGACCCCCAGCAGCTCCCACCAGGCCCCCGTTTTCCTCTTCACCCCCTTTGCCCTTAGAACCCCCAGCCCCATCTCTCTGTGTCTCCACCCGGCTCCTCCAGCCTTCTTCCCGCTGCCTGCTGTCCCTATCCCTGCTCTCCCGTTCCAGTTCCCCCAATTTGGTTTTCCCAATTTGTTTCCTCCCATCTTGCTTCTCCAATTCTGCTTTTCCCTCATCCTGGCTCCCCCCAGCTTTCTGTCCCAAATTCCTGCCATTCCAGTTCATATAATTTTTCCACCATCCGAGTCCTCTATCCTGATTCCCAAACCCATTCTCTCTTCCCCATCGCCCTGCACTCATCCCCACTCATCCCATTTCCCCAATCCCCATTCCCTCATCCCCTTTCCCAAACCCATCTTCATCCTATTTCCCTAATCCCATTCCTTCCATTCCCATTCCCTCCATTCCTATTCTTCTGTCCCCATTCCCCTACACCCATCTCCATCTCCATTTCCCTAATCCCCACTCCCTCCATCCCCATTTCCATCCCCACTGCCCTACACCCATCTCCATCCCATTTTCCCAAATCCCCATTCCTTCCATCCCCATTCCCTTGTCCCCACTGCCCTACACCCATCTCCATCCCATTTCCCCAATCCCCACTCCTTCCATCCCCATTCCTCTGTCCCCATTCCTCTACACCCATCTCCATCCCCAATCCCATCCCCTCCACCCCCATTCCCCCGATCCCACATCTTCCATCACTGCTCCCCCCAGATCCTATTCCCTTCATCCCCACATACCCCTTATCCTTTTTTTCCTATCTCTTCTCTTCTCCCCTTCGCAGAGGTGTGGGGGGTGGACCAGCAGAGCCCCACAGCCCCAGACCCATCCCTACCACCCACATCTGGGGCATCAATCCCCCCTTTATGCCCAGAACTCCCACATGAACTCCCCCTTTATGCCCCACATGGAACAGGGTCTGCCTACTGCGGGGGTCCATCTGTGCCCCCCGACAGCCACCAGGCCACCACCAGGAGGGTCTGCCTGCGCCCTCACCCGCTCCCTTTGTTCACAGAGATGCAGCTCAGCCCTTCCCCACCTCACCCCAGACATTTTGTATTTGTTATGGGATAAAAGAGCATTGATCTGCTGTGGTGGATGCCAGCTCTGCCACCCCAATGGGAGCTGCCCCCCAAGGAACCCAAAGGGGTGGGGGGATGCCGAGGGTGGCCGTGGGCTCCAACACTGGGGCTCTGCAGTCCTCTTTGCTCCTGGGACAGGGGAGGATGTGGGATTCAGGGACACAGTGCAAGGCCACCAAACTGGAGGGACATTGTTGTGGGGAGGATGGCGG